GGGCAGGGGAAGCTGTGCCCAAGGGTGAGGAGAGCAAAGCCCTGCCAGCAGCAGTGTGGGACATGGGAGCATCAAGGGAAGCATCAGCATGGGGCAAAGGAGAGATGAAGTGAATTCAAAGCAGCCACAGGAGCATTCATGGAGCTGAACCCTTCCCTCCGCCAGTGCTGGCAGCTGCAGGTGATAATTTCATATTTCATCAGCTCTTTCCACGCAGGGAGCTCTGAATGTTTTACAAACTTCCTCCAGCCAGCCCGCAGGTCTCTCCTGTCACACACCCCTTGTAGGCAACAAATCACAAATGCAAAGAGCCTTTTTTTCCCCCTGAACAAGACACAGAGGCTGAGCCAACTGTTGGTAGCACCTGCTGTGCCAAGCCCCACATCACCCCTGCCTCAGGACCCCCAACTGCTCCCTCCAGAGGAGCCATGGCTGGGAGCAGCTCTGCATCCCACAGCAACAAACTTGTGAGCAGCAAGGAGCTCTCACATCCTCATCAGCACTAGTTACGAGCTATGGAGGGACAAAGAGGCACACCAGGCTGGAAAGAAGCAGCATGGCTTTACAGGAGGGTAGCCAAGCTGCAGCCAGCTCAGTGGCAGTGCAGGGCTCAACTCTGATTCACACCCAGCCATTCTTGCATTTGGAAAATTTTTAGAATAGCCTTAAAAATGCATATTGTTGCTATAATAACAATAGAGCAGAAGGACCAGAGCACCAAGAGCTGATGTGATTTCCTGGGACCCAAGCCCTCCTCCCCGTGTGGCACTCGCCAGGGGTCCCTGTCCCCACTGACAGTGAAGCAGAACAAGGGCAAAGGGTCGGACCCATGGGACAGGGCTGAGGTCTGATCCTGGCTCACAGTGACTCCAGGTTGCTGATTCCTCCTGCCAAGGGCACCCCCTGGGTCTGTGGCAGATGGACTCTACCAGCTCTCTCAGAAACAGGGATTTTATTATAGAGGCTGTGAAGCACCTCAAAGAACTCTTCACCTCTAGCAACATAGTGCCAAAATTCACAGGTTTAACCCATCAGCATCTCTGGCAAATGGGGCCCTTAGTTCCCAAGTGGTAATTGCAGTGGGTGTCCTGGTGTCCTGGCTCCAAGCTGGGTTGATCAGCATCCTGATTGTCCAGGAAAATCACCATTGTTTTGTTCAGAGCAGCCAAAATGGAGTCAGAGATGGAGACAGTCCTTCTTTGTTATTCCGTACTGCTTCCCATTAGGTAGCATTAATTTGACGAGCTTCAGCGAACCAAAGGTGCCTAAAGGAATTTAAGGTTAAATATACTGAAAAAGAAAATATGGGAGGTCAGTGTTTAATTAGTCTCTTTTCTGTTAGGTCAGGATCAGAGGCTTTGGAAGCCTCTTTGGAGAAGAACTATTGCTCCCAGTTTTACAGGCAGGGACATCTGTGGGTGCTGCTTTTATCTGGAGTCTTTGGGGGATATTTTTAGGGAAAAGCCATAAGAAATTGGATGGCTTTGTAGGAAAGCAGCTGCTGATGGTATTTTGATCTAAAAGAGGAAGCATTTTTTGGCTATTTAGACTAGATCCTCACTTTTAAGCACCTCAGCAAACATCACCTCCCACAGCATCAGCTCCCCCACACAGGGCAGGACCAGCACAGCCACTGCACATGGGATGAGGGCTCCTGCTGACCCCAAGTCAGTTCATCCATTTGTCCTCAAATTCCTGGTGAAAAACGACAGCAAGAATCGTTCCTCCCTTTGCTTATTTACAGTGCAACGTATTTATGGTCACAGACATGTTTCAATGCCGCACCAGCAAAATAAATGGTTGATGATAACATTCATATCAGGCAGACGTTACTAGCTCAGAAAAAGCTGGAAAACAATAATTTTGGATCAAAAAAAGAGTTTTGTGTGCTCTGGATTTGTTTCTGTGCCAACAAAACTGGTGCCTTTTTATTTATTTACTAGCTGAGACTCACTGCAGGGTCTCCAGGAAAAAAAATCACTTGTCAAAATCTTGCAGAAGCTGGCATGGCTCTACCAAAAAGTTTCACTTCCTCAAGTGGCCACTTTCCAACTAGAAAGAATTAATTGAGAAAAACCCAGCCAGTTTAATGTTTTTTTTTTTAATTCCAAGACGCTACTGAAAAAGATAAAATGGAAACTACATGACTTTGACTGACATGACTGGTGAAGAGCAGGTTTTTTTCCTGAACAGCTTCATCCCAAGGGGCAATGCTGCCTCACCTCCAGCAATACGGACAAGGTTGGCAAGAGTTGCCTATGCAAGGAAGACTCCCAGTGGGAGGTGGAGCTCCATCAAATGGGTTTGGACGGCAGACAGGATCAGATCAGTGGTGGCAGCAGATGCTCTTCTTGCTGCAGGGAATTGAAGAGCTCTGCTTCATCAACAGCTGATGACGCACCAGAAAGCTTACAGATATCAGGAGAAACCTCACTGAAAGGTCTTGAAACACTTCCCTTGGCACATTCATAAGCTAATGCTGCTGTCTGACCTGAAAAAACAAGTGAACCTCTTCAGCTCTTGGCAAGCAGCTGTGTTTGGAGGGCATCCATCAACACCCAAGAGGCTTGTCTGAAGTTGGTGCCAATGGAGGAGAGCTGAGGGGATCCCCATCACATGCAGAGCTGGGTGCTTCCCAGGGCAGAGCTGCCTGTGGAGCCCCTCCACTGGTACTGAGGGCTGTGATGCTGAGAGGGATGGGGAGCGCTCCTCAGCTGGTGGTCAGAGCTGGGGCTCAGGATGAGCATCCTGGTGTTCACCGACACAGAGTAACCAGCTCAAGGTGGTGGGGAGGGCCAGCAGCATGGCTTTACCTCATGTTGGTGCTGCTGGAGCAGTGGGCAGTTATAAGGGATGGGAGAGACAACAGGGGTGGGACAGGGGAGGCTCAGGATCCTCCAGAATGGCTTCAGCAGAAGCAGCCTGTGGTGAGGCTGGGGCGTTCAAAGTGCCAGACCTCCATCCCACCACAGCCTCAGTATGTCCCACGTCTACTTCATTGAGCAAACCCAAAGAATAAGCATTAAACAGGGGATTTGGTGGACAGGAGCATGTAGCCAGGGTTAAGACACTGCTACTGTGTCATGCTGAGATGCCTCAGGTCACCCATGGCTTTAAGAGCATGTCCTCAAGCCCTGACACCACAGTCACTACGGACAAACAATCCCACCTTCATGAGATTTGCAATATTTACCTTTCATCAACAGATGAAAAAGTGTCATATTTAGCATCCACCTTCAAAACAAGCAGATCCTGGGAGGAGTTTCAGTCTCTGTATGTCTGGGGAATGTACAGAGCTGCAGGAGATCCACTGGTGGACATGAAGATTGTTTAATAACTGGGTGATATTTTACACACTCTGAAGTATTTTTTTTTAAGTATTACAAATTTCCAAGTAAAATTTTAAACACCAGTTGAAGCACATTGGAAGTGATATCCTTTCACATAGAGGGCTCCGGTTTTCTAAATACTGCAACGAAACCAAGCTTTTACAGATTCAAATCTTCTGCCATGTATGTTTAGAGTTATGAGGCTACACAGCAGCCGCCAGCAGCAGCCCTCCTGCAGCCAGCACTAACAGATAGGAGTTATCTTGCTGGGTTTTTTGTCCTCCTTAATTAGTTTTGGCCAAGCTCCCACAGATTAGGTGTCTGGCAGGAAAGCTGGGCTCGTATCAGCCCTTTTTCTCACGGATACACTGAACACCACTTAAGGAGGCCCTTTCTGCTCGCATTCCTACACAAACCTAACAGGGCACGAAGAAACTCGGAGCAGCAGCTCTCGCTCATGCCAGTCCCATGAAAAAGTTCACAAGAACCTTACAAAAAAAAGGGGGTGGGAATAAGAGGAAATCACTTATCTGTGGTCACTTTTCACATGCAGTAAGTGTGAGTAAACAAATGGGGAGCCATGGTGGCCCCCCTAGCCTGTCTTGCAAGGCTGTGTGGCTGCAGTCCTGCGCTGCTCACACATCTGCCTCCATGCCGTTATTTCTGCCTGCTGCCTCTGCCACCCGCAACAGACCCACATAGGGACATCTGAAGGTCCATGGCACCGTGCCACCCGAGCACGCATTGCTGAAGGGGAAAGCACAGCCTCCAACACACAAAAACAAAGCAGAGTGGAGACAGCTTCAGTGTCCCGGGAGAGAGAGAGAGCCTGGGGTTGCTCTTGACACATTCCCCCAGATGAAGAAAGTTGATTTAGAGCAGAGTCAGAATTCTGGAGCAGGCGGAGGAAAGGGAAAGCCCGCTGCTGACCCGGGAGGAGATACGTGCTCTGCTCGCTCTGCTAAAGCAGCGCAGTTTAAGGATTAACTCTACTCCAAGCCGCAGCCAGCGCTTTGCACTCACCTTGGCTGATCTTTATGTTTGTCTGGGGGAAAGCCTGGGCGGCCAGCAACACCATGGAGAGGAGCAAGCACACAGCCCACCCAGTGCCCATCGCCAGGGAGGGAGGACGGGGTGCTCCCCAGCTCCGCAAGCAGCTGGTTCCTGGGGTCACCGCTCGGTCCAGGATCTCCCAGCTGTGTCAGAGAGGCTGCCGGTGCAGAGGTGGATGTAGGCTGCGCTGCTCCCTCCCCCAAAAGCAGCGGCTTTCCCAGAGACACACGCCTCCCCATCCCCCGCCGGCTGAGGCTAGGCACACTCGCTGCATCCCACCCCAAGGGACCTGTGCCCACACCTTGGCCCGCAGCCTGGCTCGGGGATGCATGTCTCCTCCCAGAGAGCCTTTGTCATCCCAGAGGCTGCAGGCAAGCAAGGAAATCCCTTACCGACCCCCCAGTTGCTTCCTGAGACATTACTTTGTGTCATTATATTTGACATTATAGATTGACTTTTTTTTAAATACACTTCAGATTTAAAAAAATACTGTAAAAAATCCTTTTCTAGCTGTTGTACTGGTAAGGGGAACAGTATAGGCACAAATACTAATCCTTCTTCATTTCCAATTTATGCCTTAAATCACCATTGAATGAACTGCTTAGGAACACACTCACTGCTGTTCCTTTTTTATTCTTAGCTACAGATTAAAATTTTCAGTGTTTTCTGGGACTTCGGTTGGGATGAACCATTTTTACAGGCAAGATTCAAGTAGAAACAATTTGGGGTGACACAAAGCTTTCAGTACAGTAAAGCATACAGACTTACTCCAGAGACAGTAGCTCACTGACTCAGCTTTCATATATTAAATGTTCTTTGCATTAAATAAAATCTTTTAAGAAACTCCCTCCCATTGGCTGTTCCACACACTGATCTGAAACTATACAGCTCATGGAAAAGCCTATTGATATATCAGACCACTAAAAAGGAAGGAATTCAGAGTATTAGAAGCCAACGCATGCCTTCTCCCCTCTTAACTGTGTGTACGTGTTTATCCCCAGATAAAGCCATTACAAGCAATTACCAGCAAACTATGGAACAAAACTCTTGGAGCATATTAATTTACTCCCCAAGCACAATTGCTTATGCTTAAAAATAAAATAGAAATTCAGAACAGCTTTAACCCTGTTTCTAACGACAGGCCCACTGCAGCAGCGTTCCCCCCACTCCAGCACAGAGCACTGAGCCCCCCACACTGCCCCTGTGCCCGTGGCCCCATTCCCAGCCCAGCAGCTGGGCACCAGCTCTGCTCCCAGTGCTGGGAAAGGACACACACATTGTGCATGCAGAGCCAGCTGGAGCTGCAGCTGCACTTTGGGTGTTACTTTCTGATTTCACAGCACACGAGATGTCTTTCACCTGCTGGATGCAGCCACAGGAGCACAGCCACGTCTTGTTTATCCAGCCCTTCTGCCCCTCTCCCTTCCCACGCTGTTTTCTGATTGCCCTCCAGGTTGAGACCTCCAAAGTGTGCTTCAATCCAAGGGTTTCCTTGCCAATTTTTGGCAGTGTATGCACATGACACACCCCTGCCTGTGAAACAGAGACCTCATGGCTCCAAGGACTCATCGGCAAGAGTGCCTTCTGTTGACATTTCATCCCCAGTGATGGAGCAAAACATGTGGCAGGTCTCAAACAGCTTCTGTGGATGCCCAGAGCTTGTGCTGCTGCCCATACACCCCACGTTGAAGAATACTGAAACCACAGCCCCTTGCCTGAACTTTTTTGAGTTATGGGAACAGATAATCTCCTACAGCGCGTATTTGCCCAGGACACCCCATGGGCTCCCTTTCCACCATGATTTATTGACAACAAACCAAGAGGAAGCCAGAGAACAGACTGATTGATAGTCAATTGCTATTGACCTCACTATGGGCAGAGGAGGAATTTCACCTTGCAGAGGCAGGTTAGAACTGAAACCACCATCACAACACGCTTGAAAAGAGGATGCCCATGGACAGCCCTACGGCAGCTACTGTCCCCATCTTCGTGCTGACAACAGACATGAGCTGTGCTGAAGAGCAGCGGGGAGCCATGCACAGCGGCCATGAGAAGCAAAGGTGTTCACCAGGGGACAGTGTGCACAACCACACTAAGGGTAAGCTCCTACCTGTCTTCACTCCCAGCCACAGCAGTCAGGTGATGGTTCGACAACCACCGAGGCCTTTTTTTGCTATCCTCTATCAAAGGCCATGCTATGCCCAGGAGCAGGGTGTCTGCACTGTCCCTCTCCCCCAGCCACCAAGATGGCTTCTGGATGCAGAGAGGAGACAACATCTCTTGTAGCCTCCTCGTATGCGTTGCGTTCTCTCCTCCATGATGGCAAGGGTCAACTTGGCTGTTGCATGGAGAACGTGCACAGAGATCCTCTGAGCACAAAAGGGAACGAAACAGCCACAACTCAATGTAAACCAGAGTAGGTCCCAAACCAAAGGTGTGCTGCAGGGATGCTGATATCAGAGTTACAACACAGACCTCCATGCTGAAGCGCAAACACCCTGGACTGCAGCTAGGACTGTTGACTGGCACACCAACATCTGTCCAAACAAGCACTAAGGTTTTTTTTTTGCTTTTAAGACACACCTGTCCTAACTGTAACAGCCAAACAACAAATTGAGGTAAAATAGGCATATATGTGTGCTGTTTTCTTTTTAAAAATAAAAATATTAAAATCACAGGATGTAATGGGAGTTCACTCTGGGCTGCACTTGATGAACACAGGGGAGGGAGATGACTGCTGCCTGCCCCACGATGTGCCAGCTCTGGCACCACTCTTACCTTCAGTTTCAGAGTGGTCACAAGCAAGGGCAGAGATTCCCGCAGCACCCAGTGCCACATCCCTGCCCCAACCACCACCTTTCATTTGCTCATGACAGTTCTCCCGCTTCCAGTGACAAGGGACTTGGCTCTGAGCCAGGGCAGACACAGAGCATGTTAGTTTGCTCCTTCCCCTGATGGGGACCAGTACGGCTGCGGGAAGGCTCTGCACCGCGGGGTGCATGGAGGGGAAGTGGGCCACAGGCCCAGGCTGCTGCAGGGGCCACAGGCAATGTCACAGGTGACCTGGGGAGCAGGATATGGCCAGAGCCTGAGGCCTTGCCCACCTCCTGTTTGATCACAGCAGCACTGATGTGGTGGCACAGCCAAACCATCCATAACATCCTGAGGCTTTCCAGCCCAACACAGACAAACACAGCCGGAGCCAGAAGAGATCCTTCCTTCTCTGAAATGAAGACATGGAAAGAAAGAGTCATGGGCCACGCTCAGCTCTCTTCAGAGTGATGTCCTTCTTCTTTAATTTCTTGAACAGTCTGTAAGCAAGACACAGATTTTTATTCAGTCTCAATGTTGATAAATAGAGCAATAAAAAATAATAATAATTTGGGACCCACCCTTGCAAAGAACCAAGACCCAGAGCCCAGTGCAGATACTTTGACACATCTGACCCCCGGCATGTTGGGTGTCTTCTGGATGGGAAACACTTGGGTCACTCTCCTGACTGAGAAACTGACATCAGCAGGTCTTCAGTTTCTCTCAAATTACTCCTGGTTCATCTGCAGTGAGTAACAAGGGGGTAAATGACAACATTTTGGCTTTCCTTGTGCCTTAAACACAACTGATTGAACTCAAAACAAAGGTGAGTTCTGATAACAAGTATCACCCCAGTCTATGTGGCACAATTAAATAGAATTTTATTTTCAATAAATATACAATCTGCATCATACCAGACAATATGCTGTGAAAAAATAAAATGTACAGAAGCGACCAACAGGACAGCTTGACTGTAGCTAAGTTCACTTGGTGACCTGGAAAACAACCTGGGTTAACACACACAACACAGAAAGAGCCACTGCAGCCTGTGAGAGAATTAAAACCATCTATTTTGGGTCTTCTTAATTGCAAAAGTCCCTGCAGCAGATTTCTTTTGCACAACACAGGTTTGAAAAGAGATGAGCTGGCTTTCCTGGTATGAATTGTATTGGAAATGTTTACTTCGCTATATCATCATGGTATCTACTGGACGCACACAGACTGCTATCGAGAGTGGCAGGTCTCACCGCTGACATGACATCGGATCCATTTGACGAGGGGCCCCAAGCACACGTGTGCGCCCCGTCACACAAATGCACGCGTACGTACTAACAGGAGCTTAATTCTGTTAACTAGTACAAGGACAAAACTGGAGTCAGAATCTATTTCACCACAGGTTCTACCATTTAAAAAAATATTCTAGCCTAATTACCACGTTCACCAACAAGAGCACACGGGTACTTATATCTCCGAGAGGATGAGCCACAGATTTGGACTGGAAGAACAGCAGAGGCAACTCCCAACTCTTCCAATCACTCAGCGCTTCCCCCAACACTGCCACGCACAGCCCATGTCGCCCGGCCACGCGCTCCACCGTATGGGATGCAAACAGCCGAGCGGTGCCGGGTGCGAGCAGCGAGAGGTCTGGCCGGCCAGGCTGCTGGTGGCCCCAGGGGAACGGCCAGGATGCAGTAGGACACGGTTCACAGAGGCCAGTGCAGTCGGCTGGGGGCCCGCAGCCGCTTCCATCCCAAGGGGCGGCTG